TAGGAGGTGTCAAGCAACTGTGCGACAGACGCGTCCAAATTTATAGTGACTATACACTTCTGGCTTTTGCCATTAGCCTCTTCTCGCTTCTACTTCGTGGGGGGCTTGCCCTCGTATTAAGGATATCTTCCTCTTGAATTTTCTCGTCATAGGAAATCTCTAGGTCGGCTTTAACCAACTTTAAAGTCTATGGCCTTAGCCATATTTCCGGACACTTCTTGCATGGCTGCTAAGGATATCTTCGTCTTGAATTTCCGTCATAGGAAATGCTTTTACCGCCCTAAAAGCCTCAAATGGCATTAACCATATTTCCGGCCGGACAGTGTTGCAATCTATCCTCCTCTCGAGTTTCCTCATCAGAGGATATCTCTGGGTCCGCCTTAGCCGACTTAAAACTAAAAGCCTCGGAAATGACATTAGTCACATTTTCGGGCAGTGTTGCAAATCCTTCTTGCATTGCAGCTAAGAGAGCTGTCGAAGGTCCTTCACCATGAAGATCCTTCGCCAATCTTGGCGCCATTTTCCATTACATTGGACTTCAATGTCCTCGAGCACTTTTAGTTCAAGAGCTATCGCTGCTTTCCTTTTTCTGTCCAGATGTTTCCTTCCTCTGACCAGTATCCGTGTCGTTGTCAGGCCTTCTAACGTGCTTTAGACCAAATTATTGCTAAAAATGTTCACTAGAAATAAAAAAAAAAAAACTTTTGTTTGCTCGAAAAGGCAGCAACACACTGAGTTCGCGCAGGCGCGATGCTATCTCATGTAAGACCTCAATGCGGTGACGGAATAGAATCTTAGTGAGACTGCCCCTTTAAGCTGAGCTTCATTAACATAGCCTGGAAACGATGGCTTCTCAGGATCCCCAGCTAGCCATTGCTGAGGAATTAAAGCAAAAATACAGCCATATGACGATGTCTGGGAAATTTTAGTATAGAGCTGGGAACGAAAAACGCAAGCAACGCCGCATGTTGGATGGAGGCCTATTAGTCTAAAGCATTGTGTTCTTTTTGTTGTTGTTACCAGCCGGATGAAGTTAATGGACTTAAATATAACACTGAAATACCAATGTTTATCTAGGGAGTATAGATCGTTTTCACTGTCACGCAATAAAAGATATAAATCAAAACCCATTCAGTGGATAAAGTCAAGAAATTGTGATCTAAAAGGAAATAGATAGAGAAGACACTTCTCCAAGTTTTAGGTTTGTGCGTTTTCCCAGACTGCAGATATTTGTCGAAA